CATTGAACTAGTGTGGTCATTAAAATGGAATTTACTGAAACTTTCAAAATAAAAGCCTGCATATTCCTCTCACGTCAGTGCACCGCTGCAGGTAGTGCAATAATATTAAGCTTTTTTTATGTGTTTTTTTTCTCAGGCTAGTTCATTAACATTAGCACAAACATTAGCATTTCACTGTCCCCACTAGTGCACTGCCTTGTGCAGCAAGGCAGTGCATTAGCATTAGCCTTTTACCTAAAATAACCTATTAGTTAATTTTCTTACTTATTTGCCATGTTTAGTAAACTGAATGGAGTAAGTCAATGATAGAGAACATGCTAGTGATGTCCCACATGCTACTGATAGTCTTCATGCTAACATTAGCATTTTGGATAATTTTAGCTTATGCATTAATTTTAATATACTGAGCTAAGCTGTACAGGTACAGTTTAGTTAGTCCACATGCTTCTGACTCCGGTTATTGACTACATTGCAGCTTTCTTTACCATTAATGCTAACTTTTAGCATCAGAACGCTGGGTCCAGACCGATGGGCACACTTTGGCAGGCCCCGGTTAAATTTCTTCAGGAAGTTTCTAGTTCTTCATGTAAACTTGTGGTTTTTAAAAAATACTCTTTCATTATTGTTATATTTAGTACATAGAAATAATTTTACTGATTCTAGCTGAATTAAAACAAGAAAAGTTTGATCTGATTTAACTTCAGGCAGCAAAAGAAAACAAGTGTTTTGATTCAGTATTTTAACTGCAAATGATGCAAAAGCGTAAGCCCCTTTTTTCATGTGTTTGTATGTTTAAAACTATCGTTCCCAGAGAAGTATCAGCATCTCCACTGTAAAGTAAAAAAATAAAAACCTCAGAATGATATCTATGAAAACGACACACACAGGTTCGGGTACAATTCACACTTCTTGCCAAGTCATTCTGAGTTCAGGTTTAAAAAAAAATGCAACAGGAAATATATATCGCTGTTGCTCTCGCAGGAGAAGAATGATCCGGCTTCGACATTTTGCACACATCTGTTTGCTCAGCCGATGCAACATAACGTGCATATTTACACTGCAGACCGAGGCTCCGTGGCACAACATATGCATACAGGGAAGGCTGAAATAATAATACAGTGTGTTTGCCTTACGTTCAGCTGTTTGTCCCAGCTTAGCAGGATAATTCTGCATAATGGGAAGTTTTTGTGATTTCAAAAAAAAAAAAGGACGGAACTTTGAGTTTTCATTTCAAAATGTTTCCCAGTATGCTGTGACGTGAAAACCAACAACTGTGTTAAAACATGTCATGGAGTTGCAGTGAATATTTCTTCTTTCCACATTCTTGTTTGTATTTTGATTGGATATCCTTTATTGACTATTTCTGATGTCATCTTAGAAGTTAAATTGTGCTTTTTTTGTTGTAAATTGCAGCTTTTTCAAAATTTGATTTCTATTTAAAAATACAACAACAACAAAAATTTGAGTTTCTTCCAGCTATTTCTCAGTGGGAGCATTTAGCTAGACAGTTTCACACTAGCATATTTCACCATCAATGTTACACTTTTTATCTAATATTTTATTTTTTGTTTTGTGTTTTTTGCTGATATGGACATATGAATTTGGTGACGTTTGCTCGGTTTCATCCTGTGAAATCCTCGCTGGCAGAGGTTACACAGGATCAAAATGACTGCTTTGTACAAACGTATCAGTCAGGAGAGGAATCAAAAAGAAAAATCCACTCAAATCTGAAGTAGATCTCTCGCTGGCAATCATCTTGCACACTCAAATAAAACTTGTTTCATCTTTCCTGAGTGTTGATCTAAGTTTCTGGTTCGACCGGTGCTTCGTTAATTATACATCGTGTCAACACTTCAGTCAGAACAAGAGCCAAAAAAAAAAAGTCACATTGTGTTTTATGCAGCAGCACAATGAGGAGAGTCATAAATAATGGAGATGATACAGGACAGCAGGTACTTCACAAAACATGTCATGTTCCTCTGGAACAGATGACAAGACAGGAATGAAACCGGTCCGGGAACCTGATGGCAACGCAGGAAGAACTGTAGGAATTCCTGACATAGATGCTTCATTTTCTACGAACATCTGGACCAGATAAGAGGATTACAAGAAAAGAAATGTTTTCTTTGAAAGAAAACTTCCAGGAGTCGGGGTGGAATCTCCCACGACTTTAAATACGACACTGAGTGTCTCCAACAGAGCACCGATGAACAAACAGTGGAGGCAGAATCATGATCTGGGCCGACTGAACCTAAATTTCAACATTCAAATTAAGGGGGGAAAAAAAATGTTAGAGGTTTTGGAAAGGTCAGAGTTCAAAACTGAATCTGATGGGATGTCCACAATACATCCCATCACAATAGTGGAGACAATAAACGTGGAAATGCAGCTACCAACCGAGTCTAAGATAACATGAAAAATTTACATTGTTCAGGAAAACATTGCTTTTAAGTTTCCTAGAAATGTATTCTCCTCAAATTCACACAAAAGAAAATGAGTGATCTGTGACTTTGAGGTCAACTTCAGAAGAATGGAAGTGTGTGAATTAAAGACGAGTTACGAGTACAAAATTAATTTTAGAAAATATGTATTATTTATGAAGCTGTTGCGATTTCTTACTGTAATTCACGCAAATGAGACGTATTGAAACAAATAGAAAAGGTCCCCTAATATATATATATATATATATACTGCTCAAAAAAATAAAGGGAACATTTCACTTTAATTTTGTGTGTGGCTCCAAATCCAGGCCTCCATTGGTTAATAAATTTGATTTCCATTGATGATTTTTGTGTGATTTTGTTGTCAGCACATTCAACTTTGAACAGAACAAAGTATTCAATGAGAATATTTCATTCATTCAGATCTAGGATGTGTTATTTGAGTGTTCCCTTTATTTTTTGAGCAGTATATATATATATATATATATATATGTTGAATTGTGATATTCAGTAAATTGCAGTTTCTACAAGATAACACAATAAAAAAAGCAAATATAAAGACCATTGTGTCAATTTCAGGCTGATGTTTATTACCAAAATAATTTGAGTCATGCTATTTTAACCTACCCTGAGAACAATACGTGTGACTTTGTCAACATGCATGAGGTTTTGTTCCTCTGGCATGCAGCGCTGCTGTTCCTCCCGGTCTCTCTCAGCTGCAGTCGAACCAGTTAAAGCCGAACCCTCTTCACTTCATTAGAAATCTGGCTACGACTGAGGACGACATAATGAGCACACCTTGAAGGTTAAGATTTTAAATTTGTTTCATTCAACCAATTAGCTTGTCTGGCAGTGAGATCAAAGTATGAGCAAATTTAACAGTTTTTGTTTACAATTTAACAAAAAAGAAGAACAAAAGAAAAAAAAGAGGGGGAAAAAAATGACAGCAACTTTTTGCATGTCACCGATTTTTTTTTTTTTGTGATGAGCTTTGAGTTTGGAAAGACTCTGCCTAATATTTAGCACAAGTAGTTTTAGACTTAACTGTAGAAGGGCTTCATCTAATAATTATTTGAGTAATCAATCAATCAATCAAGCAATTATTCAAGTACTTGAGTAATCAAGCGATTAATCGGATTTAAAAAACTTGATTCTACACATTTTTCAGTTAACCACTTTTTTATAAAGTTTTTTTTACTAGCATAAACATTTTTAGACTATATTTCTATTTTCAATGCAAAATATTGAGTTCCCTTTAAACAAGAAAATAAACATTTTATTCCTTCAGTGAACAATTGATCACTTGTAGCAAAGGGTGCATCTGTAGCTAAAAAATAAAAATAACTTTTAGCAACATGTCAAAAACTCAACTTACTTTTCTGTCAGACTGAACTTTTTTTTTTTTTACCTTAAAATGCAATACATAGTTTTGACTTGCTCTGTTGCTCTTTCAACAAATTACATTTTGTCTTCAAAAAAAAAAAAAAGCCACAACAATCAACTGCTAAATTATTTGATATTTTCAACAACCGATTAATCACAATTAATCCGATTAATTGCTTCAGCCCTTAACTTTAGTATGTACCTGTCTGAACGTTTCAGAAGTTTCTTTTAATTTTGCAGCAGTAAAATGGAGTTGAAGCTCTGAAACCTTTAGTTTTGAATTTATATGAAAGAGAAACGCAACGTCTCGTATACATCAATACATAATTTTATTTTCATTTTACCTTCAGATGAACGTCTTACATTTTGTACAAAATCATTAGAAAATGTCTGCTGCTCCATAATCCCGGGGCTAATCCTTGGCAGAGCGGGGTGGGACCGCTAAAGGATTAAACTGGGAATCATGCAGCATCCTGGACCGGATGACGAGGCTCAGCCCGACCTTCAGATCAAAGTTTCAGTCCACCGTTTCCCATCTTATGGTCAAACATCCACTTTCACCCCTCCCTACCTCCCCAGCGAGGGCCGACTGGGGGAAGAGAGGGCGGTATAATCTGACCACATCTAGTAAGGTATAGATATACAGATTAGGATGAAGGAGAAGGAGGAGAGTCCGTTCTGTCTTTCTCCGCTCGTATGTCTGCGATGGATGGGCACAGTAGCACGTCAACGACACCATGCATGTTCGCATACGCACGACACATCATTGGGTTTGATTAGCTAAGAAGGTTTTTTTTCTCGTTTATAAAACCATCAATATCATCAGTCATTTAAAAAAACAAAGAAAAGAGGAATCAACCGATGTGTGCAGAAGAGAAGAAGCTTGGATGATGGAAAGAGGGTAGATGTTTTGCTATTGTACATGCCCAACAAACACACACACACACACACACACACACACACACGTTAAGTCTCAGCTAAGCACACAAACGTCTCAAGTTGGAAGTTTCCAAATCTTCCTTTTTAAGAAAAAAAAAAATTGGTAAACCCGACGGACGCCGCGCCAGACGATAAGGAAACGTCGGCCTGCTGACGATGGATTTTTAGAAATGTCCTCCTCTTCCAAACAGAAATAAAAACAGAAAAAGAACAGAGAGGCACTTACACAATCACTTTCATTGTACACAGTGCATTTATATACGTGTCCACCAAATGAGACACGGCTACATTGTGTTTTTTTTTCTTTTAACTCTTTCTGTTTGACCACGCTCACAGGGTGGGGGGGCTCATTTTCACAATGAAGCATGGTTTGTCTTTGCTCTGCTTCGTAGCAGTTGGCACATGTACATGCAAAAAGCTCCACATTCTGACCCGCACAGGCAAACTAAAGGGGACGGAGGCATGGTGGAGAGAGGGCGGGGGGGAGGGGGAGCAGGACAGTAAACTGATTGGTATGTGGACAGAACAATGCACAGACAGACAGACTGAAAGGCAGGTCCTTGAACGCCTCCCCCAGCCTTTGATCCCGTCCCTGCCCCTCGTCGTGTCTGGTGTTTTCACAGCAGCACCAGAGGAGGCCTCTGAACGTCGGGAGGGGGGTTTTGGGGTTCTGTCGGGGTCAGTCGGTTTCCAGGATGAGCGGCGGCTGCTCGTTCTCCTCCTCCAGGCGCAGGTCGTTCAGGTCCTCCTCCAGCCCCGCCCCTCCCACCGCGCCCTGCTCTTCGCAGTAACCTAGGAGACGAGGGAATCGGACGCAATCGGGACAAGTGAGACAAACAGCGTTGCACATTTTGAAGTTACCCTGTGCAATCGGATAAGAATTCTTTTTTCTATTTTGTTTTTTTTAATTCAGCGGATTTGGAAGTATTTTTTTATTTAAGGCGTTTTTAATACAATATTAGAAATACATTAAGAGATGCAAATGAATAATTCAATTCATTTTTTTACATAGGAAAATATCTAAAATGCAACAACACAGCATTCATTTAGTGATCATTTGATCATTTTTAGTAAAAATGATCAACTTTTAACAAAAACAATACAGCAGAGGACTGAACTGTTGATTATTTATTGAATTAGCAGATTAATAATTAAATAGCAAGGCGTGCTTAATAAGGTAGAACAAATTTACAGTTTTTTTTTCATCTCGAATGCAAAATGTAATTTTTTTTAGTAAAGTTTTGAGTTAATTGCTGCTCTGATTGTGTTAATATTTCAACAAGTGGCCTTTTTTGATTCTCTATGCTCCAGTTAGCGATGAATCAATTACTAAATTAGTTAACGATCATTCCAATAAATCGATTAATCGTGACGAATCATTTGAACTGTAGGAAAAGCAGTGGAAAATAAATGAACACATGTTCTAGAAAAAGGTGGGATTTTTCTAAATCTCACAGTGTGAAAAACAACGTTATATAGATCACCAAAACTTTTTGTGTGCGTATTTGTGCTTCAAGCATAAAAGTACAAGAAGCACAGCTGTGACGGCTCAACTCATATGATTAAGGTTGAATGATTTTCTGTCTTTCAATGCAAAAAATGCTTTAAATTTGTAGTTTCATAGAGTTAAAGGGACGTTTGTTGATTCTGTTTTGCAGATTTCTAAATTACCTTTACTGACAGCGGCACTGTAGGTTTGGGCCACAAGAGGGCGATCATGTGAGCCCTGCTCCAGGATCTCATTGGGAGGTTCAGCACTGCTGTCAAGCCTGAAAAAGAAACAGAAAAATGTTTAAAAAAAATAAACAGAAAACAAAACTCTGACAGTCTGCTGGAGGTGACAGCCTTTCTGTTTCACCTGTGCTGCTTCATGAGCGTGCATTCCCCCCCCTCCTGAGGGTCCAAGTTGTACAGGTATAAATATCCGTCAGCCGCTGCCACCAGCAGCCTGGGAATCTTCTGAATCCTGGTTTAGAAAACGGAAACTCGTCAGAAACCCGCTGAGCATTCTGCTGCAGCTCACACACGCACACGCACACACACACACAGAGTAGTTGGGTCATTTCCCTGCTCGTTTGCATTTCAGCTCTTACACTATCAGGCGGATCAGAAAAGGAAGTCAGTCTACTTTTACAGGCGCTTTTTTTTTTTTTTTTAATTATAGCAACCGATCAGATTTGATGTCAAAGCAGCTAAAACAGGGTGAAGATGAAACTTTCGTTTGTGCTCACACGGCTAAGGCGCAGATGTTTTTGTGTCCGCAGAAGGGCAGGCGTACGGTGGCGAAAGCTCGTCCCTGGGTTAACATTTCTGTGACCTGTGAAGGCAGGTAGGTGGTGGACGCCATCAGCACCTTCCCCAAGTAACCCCCCCATGTCGTCGGCTCCTCAGCCGGCCTGGAGGGGGAACAAAAAACAAAACAGAGAACACGAGGTATGTTTACAGTTTGTTGCAAAAATGTTTATTTGAATTTTTTTTGCTATAATCGATAAGGATTTTATGTTATCTGTGATTTTCTTTTTTATTTTACTTGACAGCATCACGTTTCGTGTCAGACACTGCAAAAAACTTGGAACTGAGGCAAAAAGTCATCGTTCAGCAGCACGACGGCCCAAAACATACAAACCAGAGCTTCAACGATCAAAACATCCTTATGTGCGGGAAAAGACTAGTCAAAGTAAAACGAGGCGAGACAATTTGAAAATTGATGTTTGGAGATGCTTTCCATTCATTGTGACTGAGCTGGACTTAGTTTTGGAAAGAATGAGGATAAACACGAGTTTCCACATGTGCAAATTTAGTAAAGACCACCAAAGAGTTCACTGAGGGGGAATGGGAAGAGATGCACATGACAGGTTTAAGATTCTACCTGTAGAAAAATAAAAAATAATAAAGACTACTAATCATCTTTCTGACGTGTGTGGCTGTAAAATTAACTGAATGGTGAAAAAAAAAAGAGAGAAAAGAGAGAGAAAAAAGGGCACTTACACATACTTCTCTTTCTGCGTCTCTAATTTGAAAATGTGGACCGTCTCTGTGTTGCTCGAGGCAGAAAGATACAGGCCTTCCATGCTGAACGCCAGCGAACAGATGCTCACACACCTGAGAGCGACAAAGCACAAAACACACACATTCAGCAAATGGAAACGTGCGCAGACGCAGAAACACAGCCTGGGCTCGACTCCTCTTTCACTTCCCAACCAGCAGGACGCTCGGGCGTCTCAGTCGTGCTCTAACCTCTTGACGCCTCGCCGGAACTCAAACAGCTTCTGTCCCTCTGGGATGGAGAAGACGCGGATGACCGTGCCCTGACGGGGAAGTGAAACGCACGAGGCGCAGGCTGAGATAAGAAGGAAGCGAACACACAAGGCCTCCCTCTGTCCGTCTGTCCACCCCGACGCGTCAGACAAATTACCTTCTCTGAAGCCGTGGCCAGCTTGGTGCCGCTGGCGTCGAACGCCAACGCCGCTAAGGGGCTGTCGTGAGCCGGAATCATGTTGGCCGCCCTCTGAGGAAAACAAAACACGCCTGTGTTTACTTTAGGCTGACCAAAAAAAAAGAGACCCGAACCAAACGGATGCCGTCTAGGCTTGCCAGCGTTACAGATAAGAAGTGTGTGTAAATATTTCAGCCATAATAAAACAAACTGCCCGAGCCGGGTCGGTTCCCCCTACCAGGTTGACCGTGTCAAACACCTGGACCTCCCCTATCGTGGCGCTGCCCGGATACGCCAGGTAACAGTTATCGTTGCTGATGGAGAGAGCACACAGTCCTGCAGAGAAGCAGAAAAAATAAGTAAATACAATGAACTACGGAAAAACTGGAAGCAGGTTTTAAGTTTAAATCTAAACCTGCAAAAACAGAAAATCTTACTGAGTAGTTTTGGTTTAATTTCTAAGGCTACGTCTTGATATTATGAGTGGGAAATGTCTTGTTGCACTGGCAGATTAATTTACAAATAACTAGTAGTTTTTCATCAACATTAAGGAATTATTGACTAAAGACAAGCTCCTATTATTTTCCTGAAAAGTTACTTCTGAGTTAATTTTGTCTCATTTCAAATTTACTAAGATATTTGAACAAAAACCTGGACCAAAAATGCTTTAAAATATCCAACATTCAGTTTCACTAAAACTTGAATATTTCTTAAGAGCAATAATAATAATAATAATAGTAATAATAATAATAAAGAAATCAATTCAGAGATGTTACTTCAGTGTTATGGCCTGACGTGGACAGTTTGCAGAGTTCTGCATGCAAGTACGTCAATAGAAAGTTTAGTGAAAGGAAAAAGTTTAATAAAGAAAAACATTGTGGGGGAAGATTCTGACAGTGGATCAGAGGGTAGAGAAGTCCCTTTAGCAATCTGAAGATAATGTATTCATCTATTTGTGTCCCTAACTCCAAAAGTGGCTTTTTAGCAGCAACCTAAATTACACGTCACTTCCTGGTTCCAACAGATTCTCGTAAACTTCTAATGGAGGAGAACCGATCCATTTTCGCTCCACCTGCAAACTGAATCGATGAGTTTTGAATCCAGCTTGTGCGAACCGACCTGACGGGTTGGGCGGAGTCTCTCGGATAGTGTGCAGCACTTTCATGTCTCTGATGTTGTGAATGTAAAGCGACTCTTCCAGACACACAATCAGCCTCTGCGGGGGAGACAAGTGCGACGTCAACAAGATCCGACAAAAACCCCCCCCCAAAAACAAAACTAAACTAACCGTATTGTTATTTTTTATTTCCCCCTACCTGTCTGTTCAGTTTCACAGCCAGTATGGTGTTTGAATAAGAGTAGTTGCAGATCTCAGTTCCCTTCTTGAAGTGACAGACTTTGAGCTTCCTGGGCGCCTTCAGACTCACGATGGCCACCAGGCTGCTGGAGAACAGGCGCTCCACGATGCACACGTCCTCCGTGTCGGCTGCAGAGACGGACGCAAAGAAAAAACATCAATCAATCAATCAAATTTTATTTGTATAGCACATTTCAGCAGCAAGGCATTTCAAAGTGCTTTACACCGCACGGCGCCCGCTCCGTCGCGTGGCAATGGAAATGAGAACAACCCTTAGTGTGGGAAAACTGCTTCTTCAGAGTTAGCGTTTAGATGAACTGGACTTTATTTAGTGGCGTCAGAGTGAATGGGGCTTACGCACAAGATATTTAAAAATATTTATTTTGTAGTAGGAATAAAGTAAAATCGAGTGTGACGTTTCTACACTATGTTGGTTTATCACCTAAACTCTGAAAAATTCAGTGGACGTTTTGGTTGTGATGTAAAAAGGTGGAAATACTTTTGCTAAACATAAAAGGAATGAATATATGAATATAATGCAATTTAAATCTAATAAGAAGGGAAATACCTGATGTTAAAGCGTAGATTTACAAGATATTTAATATTTTAGTTAAAATAAACAAACTACTAATGGGTAGGTGATTCAATTCTGTCTAGACAAACTGCATGACATACAACGACTCTAGCATGTGACTGAGCAGCAGTATGATGAGTGATGACCTGCTGGGAAATACTGCCTGGATGGGGGGGGGGGAGAAAGAATAGAGTTCTCACAATACTTACTACATTCATATATCTGCTCCAATTTGTCCACAGAGGACAAGGAGAAAAACTTGTATCCTGATTTGGTGCCAACAGCCAAGGACCTGCAGGAACAGCGGGAGGAGGACAGACAGCAGTAAGTGACCGAGCGTTGCATCAGCGGCGCACAGAGGCTGCATGGAGCTCCACTGTCTCCGTGTCACTGGATACGCCTGAGTTAGCGGTCACACTGCGACATTTGTCACCCGACTGAGGCGGTTTTGCAATATCACCCGTGCGTGTCCGCTGCTAATTCAGCCGAACAACCCTCCGCTGACAGTTCTCCCATTTCCTAATATGAACGAATGCAAATGTCGTGAGCATTTTCGGGTTTCAAGACTAGATCTAACAGCTCCTGAAAATGTTGGTCATTCATCATCAGAGCGACTGAAACACGCCACATAATTATAACTTTACGTACGTTAGCTTACGGGTAGAGAATAACATCTGTAGCCTTAATCTAGACACCCTAGTAATCCCTGTGGAGGCTAACTTCGATGTATTGTGGCTAAAGTTAGCCCCGATATTACAGCATCACGTTAGCTAACAAGCTAAGCTAGTCTCCAGTGAATTAAAATCCTATATGGATGTTTTCCTTAACAACCTGGCTGCTGCTTTCAATTTTACAGTGAGAAACCCCGTCCTGAATGTTTCACATAAACACATGTCACCCAGCCTTGGCAACTACAAACTGAGCTAACGTCCGCTAGCCTGAAAGCTCCCACAGGCCGCTGCATCCCCGGACTCGCTCCCTGGCCCAGCCTTACGTGTTGTCCTGGTTAAAGTTGGCGAAGAGAAGCTGGCTTCCGCCAGCATCCCCGCTCAGACTGGCCAGGTTCATGGGCTCGACACAGTCGACATATAAAGTTTCTGGTAAAATAGCAGCAACGGGACTGGAATTGTTTCAATTGTATAAGTATTGCGTTTTCACGGGGCCATCTCCGTTTCCAGCCTTGCTGTTCTGATTGTTGTTGTTTTTCACTGGGGATGTTGCTCACCCTCTGCGCGCATGCTCAGTGGAAGGCGGCGCTCAGTTCCCTTAAAGGGCCAACGTCACAAAGTGTCAATAACTAGCTTAAAAAAATAAATGTTAACCGTTCGCGAAATTAAGAATGTACGTCTGTGTTGCAGCAGCGGAAAGAGAAAGAGGAGGAATTACGAATATGACTCTATCGAAAATATAATACCTTAACGTAGTTTGTGAGCGGATCTACCAGCGCCCTCTACCGTCCGTCACATATAGGAGTTTTAGGAAGGATAATAATGCATACAACGTCCAATATTAATCACACAAATCCTCCTAATCTGTAGTGGACAATGGACTAGAAAATGTGTTAGGTTCTTGATGTGTCATTTAAAATCAGCCCATAATTATATTATATTTAGACTTAACTTTATTAATCCACAAACAGACTGGTTTGGCGACTTTGCTGATCAATCCTTGAAATACGATCCTTCAAATAAGTTCAATTCAGTCATGAGGACAGATTTTACACACCTTCAAAATCGATTACATTTAGAGGGTCAGAGTAGGATAAACACAAATTTATTTGTAATTAATTAATTAGTCAGTTTATTTATTTATTTATCAACATTTTTTCATGAATGACATTTTAAGATTGACTAGATAAAAAAATAACAAATGTGCTTTGTCCATATTGCAAAATAAATACTTTTTTATATAACTTTTTGTCAAAAATGCGGTGTAATGATCATCCCTTTTTTTTTAGTACTAAGCATTTTAAGGTAAAATCATCCAGATCGTCATTTGCTTGTGAAAGGGATTGTTAAAAAAAAAAGAAAAAGAAAAAGAAAACCAGCATAAAATGAAAGTGAAAAACCGAAACAAATAAATAAAGACATAACATTTTGGTTTCACTAAACAGTTTTAAAATATTAAACGAGAAAAGCAAAATTTACAGTGGACTATATAAAAACACAAATATGTTTGGTAGTACTTGTGTTGTGCGTATGTGTAAAACCCTTTTGGAATAATTTAACGCGTGATAATTAAATAATTAAATGTACAAGAAGTTTCGGTTTACGTTCAAAACTTGATAAGCAAATCTCATGTTCAGCACCAGAGGGCAGCATTTCGGTTCGAACCGTTTCTTAAACTCATGAGAGAAACTAACACATCCTATTAATTACCTGCTCGGAGAACCATCCGTAGCGGCGAGAGCTTTAAACAGTTTTATCCTTATGATTCTTCACTGCATCGCTACATTTGTTTCTGTTTCCTTAAGATCCCACTACAGCATTTCAGCCAAACTGAGGTCCACATTGTGACCGGATCATTGCAACGTCTCTGATCTTTTTTCATTTTCAACCATTCTGGATTTTCTTGTGTGTTTGGAATCGTCGTTCTGCTGCAGAGCCGGTTTGGGATGACTGTTGGGTGCATGGTACCCGCATGGCCGACTCCAGCATATTTAGGAGTTCATGATCGTATCATCAGTGCGTGATGGGACAAATTCTGTGGCTACAAGTCAGATAAACTATTGCTCTTCTATTGCTATACTTGATAGTTAAAATAAAAGCCATGTGCTGATATCCTGCATCGTTTTTGTTTTGCCTATTCAAGGTTTTCCAGATTCACAGACAGAACTACCTGCCTAAGTTTTGCTGCTGAATTCCTTTTAGAGAAAATGAGATTTCTCTCTCTGAACAACCAAAACTTGTGTATGAATTTTTAAATTGTTCTGTTGTGAACATCACGATTTATTACTGTCTAAACATTGGCTAAAATACTCCTGGGAAAATACCAAATGAATTAAATGTTTTCCATTCGACAGAACGATATCGAATACAGAAGTATGGTCACACCGAGATGTTCACACTGATGACCAAAAAGGTTAATGAAACACACACTACTAGCAGCACCTGCTGCTTTCCCTTTTTTAAATACTGTGGACGTTTTGAGGATGTATTTCTTAACTTGTTTTGACTGTGACAGATACTCTGTTTGTCCTATCCCATTTCCTTCATAAACATTGTGAGTAAACTGTTTGGGTATTAAATTACTCCAGCCAACAATATGGAAGCTTATAAAACTGATAATCGGTTCTGAAAGTTAACCTTTATTGCTTTTATGGTGGCAAAAACATGAAATTTCAGCCTGAATCATGAAAATGTAATATATTTTGGTGCACATGAACACCTCAGAGGTGAGGTCTCATACACACTTCACTAATTTCTACTGATTTTCAAAAGGGTCAAACTTCCTTCAGTCCTGGCTGAGGTTAAACAGTGTTCTAGTGAGGAAGTCGGATTTCAACATGGCGAAGCCCATAAACATCGTTTGCAGCTCTTGCAAACATAACTCTAAGCTTTATTTTTCATAAGCAAGCGCCGCTTTTAATTTGTTCAGCTTAGAATTGCAGGCGTTACATATAATATTAATCTGAGATGCGCCTTTACATTTGTAAATAGACACGTTTCCAGTTCCGCCACACCTCACGACTGTTGATGCGAGGAGCGGCCATATTGAAACGGAAAACCGCCTGTTTTTAAAAAAAGAAAAATCTATTTAAGATTTACAAACACTATACAGATGCAAAAATCTGACAAGGCATCACATAAACATGCAGAAACAGAAGATAAAATGGGGTAATTATTATACACAGTAATATAAAAACAAGGCTTTTTTTTGACAAAGACATGAATTTAAGAAAGAAAGAAGCCACACGTTTACTGGGTGGGAACAGAATAAATAAATAAAAAAGCAAGAGTTGAGACATATTTACACAGTTTCCTTGATTTATAGTTTTGCATTAAGTTAAACAAGAAAGTCCTCCTTACCAGTGGGAGTAGTCGGAGTTGCTCCCAGTTTCCCCAGTGGGAAATCTGACTTCAGAGGGCATTTCAGTTTATGTTTTTCCCCAGTTCAACTGGAACACTCCATTATTCCTCACCAGAAATTGTGTTTTTGTGTCTTATTTTACAGATAGTGTTTATTCATTCTTAACTGTTTTTAGCGCTATCTTTAGATTTAATATGCCTAATGTGATAGAAAATGGCTGCAGCCCTTGTTGCTTTGCATCAAGAAGGTCCTGGATTGGAGTCTGTTGTTCTCCTTGTGCCTGTGTGGGTTCTCTGCAGGTACTCCGTCTTCCTCTCACAGTTAAAAAAAACATGGTTGTTAGGTTCATATCGGGCATTAAATTTTTCCACAAACTGATCATGGGTAAAATAGAATGATTTAATAGGTTTCCATAAGCCTGTTGAATGCCAGAATATTACATAAAACCTGCGTCACGGGAAATCTGCTCCTCATCCGCAAGACTTCCTAATCGTTCTGAATGCCAGCTCCTGACAAATGAAACAAGCTAACTATATTTGACAGCACCTGAATTTATTCACATTAACATCACCACTTTCTTTTTTTCCAACTTGTCTCAACTCATCAGCATCTCTAGTCATCCAATTTACTCAACGGGATCTTTTATTTATTTATTTTTTTTTTTTTTTGCAACAAGCCCCGACTTGTCCTGAGAATTGGCCGCTCAACAAGATAATTAGCAGTTTCTCTTTTCAGTCGTTGGTAATTGGCGAGGAACATGCGAAGAAAGCAACCAGTTATACCAGTGAAATTGTTTTTGAGGTGTGAGTTTGAACATGCGTGTGTGTGTGTGTGTGTGTGTGTGTGTGTGTGTGTGTGTGTGATATTTGACGCCAGGAGAATAACTCGGAGGAAAGAGAAGCAGGAGGAATTGGCGGGCCGCGGCGGCAGGCACTGCTGCTTGTTCAGTGCGAGAATCTCGCCAAACAAAGGAAGGATACAGAACCCAGACGCGGTCAGACGGCTGGCAGAGGCAGGGGGAGAAAGGCAGCACAGCTGAGGGAGAAAACAAAGCGACATTGTTTGTTTCTGTAAGGAAGCACCGGCAGTCCGTGTTGTTTTGTTCGATTAAATTAGGCAGAAATGTTCGATTCTTTGAGATTCCGCCGAGCACCTCGGTAAAATCAACAGCGTATATTCTTTCTATCTATCTATCTATCTATCTATCTATCTATCTATCTATCTATCTATCTATCTATCTATCTATCTATCTATCTATCTATCTATCTTGGAGATGAAATGTGATATATTTTCAGCAGCTGTTTGTGTCCAGATGTTAGAAGGAAACATAAAACTCTGAGTTACTTCGATGCTGATCACGCCGATGGTCAGCGCTCCTGCGGCGTAGATGTACGTCTCAAAGTATTCCACCAAGGCCGAGTAGCAGCCCTGCAGACCGGACACACAGAGCCTTAAAGGGCCGGTACCATCTGCTCCACAGCCACATTTTATCAGCACAATCAGTAACTATGTGTCCTTCCAAACATGACTTAAAGGAGATTTGTCTTCCTGATTTAACTTTTACAAATTGGGCCTCTGTCTCTTTAAGAAGCTCCTGCTCTTTCTGAAGCTCTGCCTCCAGGAAGTCATCCCAACATGGCACCTCTATTAACCCTTTGATGATGAAACCTTGTAACATGATGGAAAGATCAACACCAGCCCTTTAAATCGCTCCAGTTTAAACCTGCGGCGCCGCAGTTCTTCCTCAGACCTTGTTGTGCTGGAACGCCACGCCGCTGCTGACGCACTGCTCTACGCCGCCCTCGCCCAGGTGGCCGTCGCCCTGGCAACAGGCCTCAGGAAGCAGCTGGTTGGGGTGGAGCAGCCGGAACAGGCTCTGCTGGAAGTCATCGGGGCCGCTGGCGCCACAGCAGTCCAGCTGGAGGAAGGAGAAGAAAAAGAAGAAGATGAAGACAGCTGCTGGCGGGGAAGGGTGGGGCGGAAGGGCGGGGCGGGG